GCTAGTCCTGGGGCTCCACCCCCCTGGACTCCTCCCGAGCCCCGCCCCCCAAACTCTCAAACTCCACCCAGAGCGTGGATCCCATGAGTTCCGCCCTCGGTAGAGCCCCTCCCCGGATCCTGACAGGCTACAGGCTACGTCCCTAATCCAATGGAGCTCCCCAGATGCAAGGAGGCTCCACCCCCTGGTTACGCCCCAGAACCCTATAAATTTCCACCCATTACTACCACACCCCCCACGCCAATTCGGGTCCTGCCCCGAAGGTCTAAACCAAGGCCCCGCCCCTCACCCAGCTTGTCCAGCGCAAACTGCACCACGAGCTCAGGCACCTCGCGTGAGGCCATGTCCGCAGCGATGAAGAAGACCTTGGGAGCGCCCAGCTTCCGGCAGTTCCCTACCACCTGGGGGGCCAGAGCTGCCCGTGGGCCCCTCCACCCCGCAGGTTCCCTCCACCTGCCAGACGCACGGGGGCCCCAGCCTGAAGCCCCCTCCCCTACTCTGAGCCTCCCTTCCAGTTCCCAGAGCTTTACCACTGGGGTCGTCAACTGGCATCTGTTTCATTTGATCAATCATCACGATGTAAAACTCAGGAGCTATCAAATAAATCTCAAGGTTTCTGGCCCCCCTTGAAATTCTGGAAGGTTTGTGTCCAAGAGCTGTGCATTTCCTCGGAACGTTGGGTTGCTAAGAAAAGTGCACCCACCCCCCTTTTCAGTTTGGGAGCCCTGTCTGTCACCACAGCCTTTGGACACTGCCAATACTGCCATTTATTGGGGAACACTCCTGCTTTACACTCACTGTCTTACTGCATCCACCCGATACCACAGCCCACAAGAAGGGACTTTGTTTTCCCTTTTGCAAATGGGGAAATTAAGGCTCACAGAGGTGAAGCAACTTGCCCAAGGTCACATGGGAAGCCAGGGATCTTTGCAGGGATTCAAACCCAGGCCTCATTTTCCACCCCACTCGCACCCTCACCGGTACACTGGGAATGGGGTGTCTCACCTTCTGCAGGAAAACCTCAGTGTGGGCAGTGAGCACCAGGTGGGAGCCCAAGCGGGCATAGTGATAGGCCAGTTCCTCCCCAACGCCAGCACTGGCCCCTGTCAGCAGCACACGGGCTCCCTGGAGGCTAGCTGGCAGTGAGCAGAGGTGGTCAGCCTAGAGCAGTGATGGCGAACCTATGACACGCGAACTCATTTTTTTGGTTGATTTTTCTTTGTTAAATGGCATTTAAATATATAAAATAAATATCAAAAATATAAATCTTTGTTTTACTATGGTTGCAAAGATAAAAAAATTTCTATATGTGACACGGCACCAGAGTTAAGTTAGGGTTTTTCAAAATGCTGACACGCGGAGCTCAAAAGGTTCGCCATCACGGGCCTAGAGGGTGCACAGAGCAGCTGGCTGGATTCCTCCCTGTCCCACCCCAGGCACTCACCTGGGTCAAAGTTGTCAGCCCAATAATAGGTGAAGAATAGGGCTCCCAGCCCAGTGAGGAGTAGTACCTTCATGGCCCTCCCTGGGTCTGCAGTGAGAGAGAAGGGTGGCCAGCATGGTCCTGTGTTGCGGTAAAGTGGAAAGAAGTTAACTAGAAGAGGACGCTCTGCCGGGAGATAGACTTGTGACTCTTCTCCATCACAACCACCACCACTTGGTCCAGGTCACCATACAGGTCACCTGAACCACTCTACCAGTCTTTGGGGTTTTCTCCTTCCAGGCTGCCTCCCTCTGCTGAAAATTCTCCCAGATTCATTTAGGACAAAAGTCACACTCCTTGATGACCAAAAAGGCCCTTCACGCACCAGCCCCTCTTGCTCACTCTGCTTTTTGTCACAACAGCCTCTTTGCTGTTCCTGAGAACCAGCCAGTCACTATCTGCCTCAGGGCCTTTGCACTGCCTGTTCCCTCTGCCCTAAATGCTCTTGGCAGATAATCCAGTGGCTTGCTTTTACTCCTTTCAAGTCTCAGCACAAAAATTACTTCTTCCCAGAGCACTTCCTGGGCCTCTTTTTCTGAAGCACTTCCCTCACTCGCCCTTACCTCTAGAACTTCTATCTCCTTGTCAGCACTTAACATCACCTGAAATCACCTTGATGATTTGTTTCATGTTCACTGTCATTCAATTCTCCTACCAGTGGTTCTCAACCTTGGCTGCACATTAGAATCACCTGGGAATCTTTTTAAAATCCTGATTTCTGGGCCTCATCTTCCGGAAATTCTGTTTCTTTGTTATGGGGGGAGGCTACAACATTAGTAACAAAGAAACAGAATTTCCGGGAGGATGAGGCCCAGAAAATCAGGTTTTTTAAAAATATTTCCCAGGTGATTCTGATGCCCAGGTTTGAAACCCCTTGGCCCGAAAATTGGTCAACCCCCAACAAGGACAAAAAAAGGAAAAAAGAA